GGCGGCGGCGGGTGTGGACTCCGTATCCCGACGGTCGCCGAGGAGCTGGTAAGTTGGGCCGCGTGGGGGCGGCTGGCCGGGGGACTGCCTGCAGGGGCCGGAGGGCGACGCCGTCAGGGTGATGGGGAGCCTAGGGTGCAGGTTGGGAGTGCGGTGCGCGTTCCAGGTGTCCTGCTTTCCGGAGGCCCCGGGCGCCTAGTGCGAACGGAGAGGCTCCGGCCCGCCGCCCGCTGTCAAGCAGGCCCTTCTTTCCCTTCCGTCGCCTGCGCGCCCCCTCATCTTCCCGGTCTGGGTTGCCTGCCCGTCGGCTCCTGCTGACAGATCGCGTGTGCGTGGTTGAGGCGGCGCTCTGCAGCCGCGCGGTGTCCCCCACGCGCGTCACCATTCTCCGGGGCGGGGGGTGAGGACGCGACGCCCGGGCCACCCTTCTACGGCTTAACTTTCCCGGAACGCGCACACCTTCCCTGGAGATAGATCTGAGCGCGTCCCACCCAAGGTCGCCTAACTCACAGGCGTTTACTTTTCAAAGGTCGTGTGTACCCAGTCTGAGCCGGGAGAGGCGGCGGCGGAGCGGGCTGTGGGCAGGGCCAGGTGCTCACAAGGGCGAGGAGGTGCCCCAAGGCCCCCGGGCACCCCTTCCTCTCTCCTGAGGGGTTGGAGTTGAATTGGTCACTTCAGGAACCTCACCCGACTTCTAGGCCCCTTTGGCTGGTCCCGGGTTGCTCCCCTCCTAGGCCTGGCGGTGGCAAACCTGAGCAGGTAGCCCAGGCCCTGGGAGTTCAGTGTGGCGAACCCGGGGAAGGGGCTCGGTTTGCAGAACTGGGAGGATTGGGCAGGCGGCCGGATGTGATTGGATCCCCGTTTTGGGTAGAGGGACCGTTAGAACCGAGTTAGGGTCCTGAGGTCTAAGGCTTGGTGTCTCTCGAGAGGGAGGGTTAGCATTTGCAAGCCCATAAAGGGTGTCCGGAGGGGCGGAGGCGTCCCATCCTGCCTGGTGTGCCCGCTGACTTCTTGCCCCGGGGCGCGTAGGTCACGTGTCGCGCTTGGCAGGCACCCCGCAGCCTTCCCGCTGGCGCTCTGGAGGGACCGTGAGAGTTTCGCGGATCGGGCTCTTAATGTGCTTGGAGAGGCCGTCGTCATCGACCCCTCGGCGCGGCCTTTCTCCAGTTGAACTCTTTTGTGCCCTAGGGTACGTTTGCTCCCATTTCCCCTCCAAGAGAGGCGCAGGGAAGAAAGGAGCTGTTGGTGGTGGGCGGTGTGGAACCGACCCGGGACTGCGTGTAAGCCCCGGGCCTTTCGCGATTTTCCTCTCCAGCGGAGATGCCCCGGTTGGCCAGCGCCTTCCTGGCCCCCTGCGCTGCTAACACAAACCCGGTGCACCTCATTGCAGGTGTGAGTGGAGGCCTCTGAAGCCGGGTAGAGTGCATGGGCAGAGCAATTAGATTAACCTAGCTGTCTTTCCCTGCTGAAGTTCAGGCTACTTGGTGTTTAAATTTATCTCCTTCAGGGAAATCTGGGCTGCTGGACACCTGGTATAATCCTATCTGTTCATTGGTTTGCTGTTACCGTCCCTCTCCCTCTCCCCCACCCGCCACCTTTGTCGCAATTACTGATGAAGTAAGTAACACTATTCACAATAAACTATTAATTCTGCCAAACAGTAACCTTAGCGTGCTGGGGTAACTAAGCTCTTCCCAAGTTAGTTAAAATTATTTAGAAAGCAAAACTTGGACTTTAATAAGCACCACCCATCTTCTTTGCTCTTAAAGGTACCGAGCATCTTTGAAGAGAGGGGCAGCATGCATGGTATGATCATATATCAGATTTCTTTGTTCTTGGCATTCAGGTGGTTCACCTGCTTATTTAAGACTTTCTGAGCACTGGAAGCATGTGAAGTTATGTTTTGGGAGCTTTTGGAGTTGTGTTGAATCTTCCCTCTTTCACCTCTTAACTAGTTATGTGGGTTCTGGGTAGTGATTCCTGTATATATTCTCAGTTGAAGTTGTCACTTGGCCAGAGGAGGTCCTTTGGATCCTACAGGTATGCAAATCACTGAAGCTTCAGTGCCGACCTGGATTAAATAGGCTCTATTGTCATGAGTATTGTTAGATGATGGCCTAGAATTTACAGGTAACTGATCCCATCCAGGCCTGTGAGTGAGACTGGTTTAATGGATTTGTGTCTTGCTGGAGTCTTGTGACTATCAGTTCCTCCTCCCAACTGTATCTAGGAAATACATTTACACGTAGCCACTGCATGGTGACAGTGAAGGTGTCTGTTTTAAGTGGCCTGCTCTGGTGCCAAGTGGATGTGTCTCCAGTGTAAGGTTGCTGAGCATCAATATTTTAAAGTAATTTGTTTTGCTCTACCTGGTAACCCAAATTATTGGTGGACTTTGGACCTGTGTCCTAACCATGATTTGTGGGTGAAGGCTAGTTTTGGCCTTTACAGTGTTCCCTCTCCTCATTCTGAAGACAAGTTGAGATAATATTTGTGAGACCCAGCACTGTGCATGATGGGTGCTCAAGTCTTGTCTTTATTCCGCCTTAAAGAATCTCTGAGACTGACATTTTCTCTTGAATCACTCGAGTGATTTGAATTTTATTAAAAATACCCACCCCCAGTTTCTGGCCTGGAAACTTGGTTGGGAGGAAAAGGAAAATAAATTGGTTTCCCCACTGCCAGCCGCGTCCTGGCTCTAGCCTGCAACAAGTATGACTTGATGGAATGCTCATTTCAGGGCTTTGAGGAGCAGGCACCCCATGTGCCTGGTGAGCTGGTACTTTACAGCAGCCCATTCTCCCCAGGCCACTCCTTCCTAATCTTCCCTGTGAGTCTAGAATGAGGGCTTCTCTGCAGCTTGGTCTGTTGTGCTATTGAGGGGAAGTCGCCAGTTTTGTGTACAAGTTAATACCTTCAGCTTGCCATTCTGAGTATTCCTCCGCTCTGAGAGGAGGTGCTGAATCCTATGGGCCTCTTGTCCCATTTAAATCATGTCATACTGTTTGAGTTGCTAATCTATGTGGGATGTATTTTAATCCTAATCTTTGCTTTCTAGGGCAAGTTCAGTTTCTTCCACATCCCTTTCTGGTGTCATGCCTCACTCAGGTTTCAATTCACCTTTATGATCATTTAACATTAAGTACCCATCATCTGTGGCACTCCGACTGAGCAAACCTGCTGGTCCAGGTACCTAATTTTAAACCTGGGTGGTGGAAAACATGATCAATGACAATATTTTGAGTAGAACAGTCTGGCTGGAGAAGTAATTGGTGGGGATGTGGGAACTAAAATTTAGAGGGTACCTTTTCCTTGATAGCTACTGTGCTAGGTGAGCTGTGAGCAAACACCTCCCTAATCCTTTAATTCTCATACCTAAATGCAATTGAGGGTGAAGCTGGAGGTCATTTGGGATTGTTTCAAGGGCCAATAGAAATACAAATTGAGGGGTATAGAAATTGACAAGTGTGGATTTGGACTTAAACTAGGTCCTCTAGAGGGCTTTTGTGAGAAGAACCAAGGCATAGTCAAATCCATGGGCTTTTCTCCTAATCTTTCTGTTGCTTTCTAAGCAGATTGTTGAAGTGAAGGAGTGTGTTTATCAAATTCAGCATTCTGAGGACTGGCTTTTAGTAATAAGCTTTCAAAATGTCCTATTCCTTAACTTTCCTTTCTTCCTACTAAATGGTCTTTGTTCTGTCCAGGTCCTTGCCATTTGGATGTTTCTACAACTTGGTTTGATAGCTTGCAACAGTTGATAGTAAACATTCTGTCTTCATCTGGTAATACTGGCTGGCTGCCTTCACTTAACTGGGTGTCACTGAGGCCCATGCATTTAGGAACAAAGCAGGGCCCCAGGTGAGTTCTGGGAATAAAGGTATACAGTGCTGCAGGCTGATAAGGCTTGTTTCACCACTGGGCTTAGCTGGCAAGAGCCCTGGATTGGGGGGTGGTGAGGGCTTGGTACAACTTGCAGGGATGAAAGCTAGATGTGGTTCCAGGCAGGTCTGTTGGCCCTCTGCGGTCTCAGTTTCTTCAGCTGGTGAAAGGGTTGGACAACATCGAAGGCATTCAGATTTTGTTCCTGGGAACTCTTAGTCTAAAGTGCCTGGGTGTAGTTGCCTGCAGGATTGTGTATGGGGAGGTGTGGTTTTGGGCTAGGATGCTAGGTTCAGTGGGTAGTACAGGTCAAAGACTTTTAAAAAACCAATCCACTGTTTCAGGTGCATCTCAAGTTCTCTTAGCTCTAAGGTGCTGCTGTGCTAAATATTTTTATATTTTACACTCTCTTCTAGTCTCTTCTAAAGTGATGCTTAGGGGAGAGGATCTAGAGCTGCCTTGTCCTAGAGGGTAGTAGCCAGTCATGTGTGACTAGTTAAATTGAAGCTTTAAGCATCAAATAAAATTTAAAAATTAGTGTCTTGGTAATATTAGTCACGTTTCAAGTGTTCAGTAGCTTCAGGTGGCCAGTGGTTACAGTATTGAACAGTGCAGGCTTAGAACATTTTCATCATCCCAGAAGATTCTATTGGACAGCACTGGTCTTAGTTCTTTGCCCAAGTCTAAAAGCTAAAGCATCATGTGTTTGGGCTTCATCTTTCATAGCCCATAAACCAAACAGCTTTGGTGACAAATTTTTTATTAGCTCTCTCCATGGCATGTTAAGAAGCAAGTTGCAGTCTGCCAGTTTGGAGAGCAGTGATCAATTATGAAACAATTTGAGGAGGGTAGTGAGGGATCTGGGAATGGGAGCATGAAGCAAAGAAACAGACACTAAGCCCTTGGAAAGCCGTATTGGTTTGAGAGCTTGTTTATTATCTTAAAGGTCCTTACTGGTTCTCCAAGGCCTGTGCTCACTATCCTTGGTCTTCGGATGCCAGCTGACCTGTTTGTCCTTCACCTACCTGAATACTTGCTGCAGGATCCCAGTGTGGGCCTTTTGCTAAACAGATTGCAGATATCTTATAAACTAGTGTCATTTTCATTGCACCCCTCTAGTCAGTCCATCTCAGTGTTAGGGGGCCTGTTTTTACAGAAGGCGGTGGGGA